ACTCTTCCAGCTAAATAAACCATATTGGACAAAATCTGATTAAAGAGCTAAAAATGATCTTACCTCATAGCTCCATTCTACATTAGAGATGAAGAATATCAACTTAAACACAGATAAAAGTCTCCACTTCTTTAATGGCTAGGGAAAGGGAAAGGCAATTCAGTGATATTTCCAATCACCTCATGTGCATGTGAGAACTGGACAATGAGTAAGGAAGACCGAAGAAGAGTTGATGCTTTTGAGTTGTGGTGCTGGTGAAGAACGCTGAAAGTACCATGGACTGCTAAAAGAACTAACAGATCTGTCCTGGAGGAAGTGCACCCAAAATGCTCCTTGGAAGCAAGAATGGTCAGACTTCGTCTCACCTATTTTGGTCATGTTGTCAGAAGGGACCATTCCCTGGAGAAGGATGTCATGCTTGGTAGGGTGGAGGGTCGACGAAAGAGGGGGAGGCCTTCAATGAGATGGATTGACACGGTGGCTGCGATGATGGGCTCAAGTATAGCAGGGATCGTGGAGCTGGCACGGGATCAGGCAGTGTTTCGTTCTGCTGTGCATTGGGTCGCTATGAGTTGGAAACGACTCGACAGCACCTAACAACAACATTAATAATGCCCATGCCCTATCAGACCACAGGTCTGTATGTGTATCAAGCCCTTTTAAAGATATTAAAAAAACTGCTGTGGAAAAGCATGCTAATCCTTGACAGTCCTAAAGTTCTACAAATATTCTTGTTTTCAGTGCTTCAGGTAACCTATAGACCACATACCCAGTTGCCATTGAGTCGATTCTAACTCATGGTGACTCTATGTGTATCAGAGTCAGACTGTGTGCCATACAGTGTTCAGTGGCTGATTTCTTTTTGAAGCAGATCATCAGGACTTTTTCCCAAGGTGACTCTCGGACAGACGTAAAACAAACAAACAAACAAAAAAAAAACAACTTACTACCACCAAGTCAATTACAATTCATAGCAACACTTTAGGACAAAGTAGAACTGCCTCCATAGGGTTTCCTAGGCTTTAAATGGCTATGAAAGCAGAGTACCTCATCTTTCTCCCATGAAGCAGCCAACTTTTTGATTAGTAGCTAAATGCTTTAACCACTATGCCACCAGAGCTCCTTAGACATAAGACAGTAAGAATAAATAAAACCCTTTAAGGCAGAGCTTTATCTTGAGTATAATAATAATAACTTAAATGTAAACTCTGCTTGTATTTCTCTGTTTTGGATCATCCAAACTACTTTTCTCAATAAAAATTAAAAACTGACTACACATTAAAAAAGAGTAATGGTGTTGGTTCAGTTCCTGGCCAGTGAACCTCATGCACAGCTACCACCCATCTGTCACTGGAGGCTTACTATTCTATGATGCTGAGAAATATTTTCACATAATAAAATAGAGTCCACAATAGAAAGGGAAAAACAACTTTGGAGGAAACTCATTATTTACAAATACGACACATTAAGAAATTACATTCATGTTCTTAGAAACATAAAATACTACAACCATAAAAAAGAGGAGTACATAAATACAAAGAACAACAATAACAAAATTCTCAGAAATTATAAATATGATGGAAGAAATGTAAAAGTCAATGAAAACGATAAAAATTTGGAGTAAATCTCCCACAGTGTAGAACAAAAAGGCAAAAAATAGAGCTCAAGAGAGAAAGAAAAATCAAAGAACCATCTAGGAGGTCTATAATCAAAATAATAGGAGTTCTAGAAAAAACTAACAGCATATCTAGGTAGGAGAGGGGGTAAATATAATAAACAAACAAAAATATTAAGAAAAATCCCAAGGAGTTAAGGACATGAATTTCAAGAAAGCAGTCCCCAGAAAAGCAGATGAAAATAGAACTACACCAAAGCTACACTGTTGTGAAATTTCAGAACAAAGATGACAAATATCCTACAAGCTTCCAGAGCCAAAAATTGGGTTTTATGCAAAAGATTATGAATCAGAACAGCAACTGCTTCTCAACAGCAATTTTCAAACTAGAATGCCTTCAAAATGCTTAAGATGATAAATATCTAACCTAGAATTCTATATCTAGGTACATTATCAATCTAGTGACAGGGCAGAAATTTTCAAATATAGTCTCAAAAAATTATTCCCATGCACCATTTTCCAAGAAGTGACAACAAAACTACCATAACTGTACTGACAAGTCAAAGGGATGAGAATGAGATTGGGGGGAGGGGGAGGTAAAGAGAGAGAAGGTAAGTAAGTAAGTAGAAAACACCTAAAATAAAGAAACTATACAATTATATTATTTTAAAATATGGAGTTGTTTTGTTTTTTTCAAAACTCAATTCCAAGAAGTTGCTTCTCAAGAAGGTAAAATGGGGATAGGTACAGGTGAATGCTGCTTTTCATAGAATTGACTCTTGAAAATCATAAATTACACAGAATGATCTGAATCTTCAAACTCATTACCTTTTCAAAAGGAAAAATGTAAAGATGAGGAAGAAACTTCTAATCAGCAAACACCCATCCCCCCCAATTTTTTGAAAATGCTGTATTTATTAACCTTTTTTTAACCTTGCCAACCTTAAATGGTATTATTAACATTAGAGAGCTAATGAGCTGTTTCTAAAACCCCAACGATGTATAGACAAGCATAACCCATTCCTCAGATACTTCATTAGGACATGTTTGAACATTTATGTTAGCATTTAGATTTGGAACAATAGTGGCTTATTACAAAGAAAATATAGTTATGTTTAACATGCTAAATCTAGGTAAGTGTATTCAAGATTTTGACAAAAATAATTCCCAAGGTAATATAAATGTAGACACTTAAAAAACTTAGGTGTTAATTTCAAGAAAAGTTTGAGTTCAGTCAGGAGTCATGATTAAGTCAATAGTTGAACCAATTCTACAAATCATAAATACTGTTCCCCCTCTTAAATTCATTATATTTTCTAAGATGTTACCAATTTAGTTTTCCTTTCCTTGATATTGATATTTTGAATCATTTTAACATGGTTTATATTTTAAAATTCTAAGTTTTGTATTTATCCTGAATATCATTATAATGAAAAGTATTAATCCAGAAGTGACAACTCTTCCTTACAGAAGAATTTCAATTAATTAATGTAGAAAGAATAAAATAGAAAATCATCACTAGAGCACCACAACAGTAACTGTCACAAGTAAGATCTACCAATGGGTACTAAAATGAGTGGGAAAAATTTTAAGCAGAAATAAAACATTTGCATAGTGTCAATGTATCTCCCTCACAAATATTTAGCAATTATGAAGGGAAACACAGTAAATTTATAGTAAAGAATCCTAGCAGACAACACCTTAGCCTAGTGATCAAGTTAACAATACCAAAATACACTGCAATACCATGTACCTCCTAACAGGATGCTCTGTGACAGACAATACAGACATGACAACTAAATGCAATGTGTAATACTGGGTTGGATCCTGAAAGAGTGAAAGCACATTAGTGGAAAGAATAATAAAAACTCTATTTTTAAAATTCTCTAGTTAACATTATTATATCAAGGTTAATTTCTTAATTTTGACAAATGTTCTATTGTTACGTAAGATGTTAACATAAGGAGAACTTGGGTGAAGGGAATATAGGAATTCTGTTCTATTTTTACAAGTCTCCAGTGAGTCTAAAATTATACCAAAATTTTAAAATTAACTGTTAAAAAACAATATATTTGTATTATGTGTCTGTGTATTTATATATATAAATTAAGACTTTATGGAAAATATCATCTTGGACACTTGGTAAGTTAAATACGAGTGTCCTATCCTGAACCACTCACTCTCACTGGTTTGTGGTAACTTAGCTTTCAGGTCCTACCACTTTAAATTTTTAGCTTCAAGTATAACTCTCTAAATTTTCATAGAAAAGCCTTCAACATCCCCATATTGGGCCAAAAATAAAAATCCTAGAATAAAATTATCACCATGTAACATTCTAAAATCATTCATCCCAACTGCAAGACCTAGGCAGTATTTTTAATCATTTTTTCCTCATCACATAGTGTGCTTGTATTGGTTTGGTTTTATTTATAGGGGGAGAAAATGGCTGACAGATTTATAAACTGTAGGCTTGGCAGTCTAGAAAAGAAAATGATCACTTGAAAATCTTCTTAAGAAACAATTGTTTTTCCAGTAACAGATACTGTATACTAAAACTCACCTCAGATGTAAAAAGTAAGTTATTAAGTCCTTTCTACAGCACTGGCGCTAATCAAGCAAGCCCAATCAAGACCTTTTTAAATAGTCCTTCCATAAGTTTGGCTCTAAAAGGACTGTTATTAATGGCAATAAATATCTTTTTATAAAACAGGTAATTCTTGCTATGTAATTTTACAATAGGGAAATAAAGATAATCATCAAATATACCCTTAAAAGAAGAAAATAATTTCCCACTCTAGATATGGCTGATTCAGTCCCTGAGCATGAATTCCCCTTTTACCCTCCATGTTTTCTACTATAAACTGAGTTGAAATCTGCTCAGAGGGATCTTGAAAGTGATCTTTCATATTTTAGATGAACAATGTTATTACTGAATAATTATATTTGTTTTCTGAGTTATTATTTCTATTCACTGTAGCATTAATTTTCATCTATCACAATGTTTTCTCTACAGAAGCAACAGTGGTGAAAATTACTTTGTAAAAAAAGAAAAGATAATTTTAAAGTATATCTTTATCCAAAATATGATAAAAAGCAAATGAGAAAGATGTCCACAAATATTTTCATTCCTACATGAAAGCCATTTGCAAATTCATCTTCCACTACTACCATGAAAAGCAGAAGTGGTGAAAAACTCTGACCTAATGATCTATACAAAAAGTAAGACAAACATTTTACCTCAGGAACTCACTACACATTGCAATATACTCAAGTGGTAAGAAGATAAGAAATTCATTCAGAATTGCCATACTGTCTTGGCAGTCAATATGGTCTCTTAAAATAATTATATTAAACATATTACTTACTACAAAATATAACAAGAAGTAGAGAATAATACTATATTTATGAACTGCAAGTAACACATAAAACAGAGGTCCAAGAAAGCTAAAGTCCAAGCTGTAATTTACACATGAAGTGTAGGTTGTAAAGCAGTCACAATGTACAAAAATTTGACAAGTAATCCAGCTGTTTAAAAAAAGATCCTGTTTCAGATTATATCCAGTCTCATCTGGTAGGTTTCTAATAAGCCTGTTACATAAAGTGTATTTCCGTCCTGCTAAAAAGAAGCAGCTTGCAAATATCCATAAATTTCTTAGGTATGGAGTGAATCTACTTGGCAAGATTGATAACTCCATAATTTCCTATTACATTCATTGGTCTGAAAACAATTCGTTACTACAATGTTCTTCCAAGTCCTTTGTCAGTTTTTGAAGTTTGAAAATATACTGCTTCCTATCATCAACAGCCATCTCAAAAAGAGGGTAATTAACCAAAATCAGCAGTTCTTTGGTCAAGTTAGTAACAGGCTTCCATTTTGTTCTAAATCCTTTCATAATCCTTTTCTTTCCAATTTTTCCAGTATAGCCTGGATCTTGCAAACAGCCTCTTTCCTGGCCTGCCGGACAGAGTCTTGACCCCCAGTTTCAACTGAATCCAGTTCCAGAAGTTCCTTGGTTAGCATTTCTTCCAGAAGCCAGTATGCTTTGTCTGTCTTTTTTCCTACAAACTCTTCTACTTCTTGCTCAAGATACTGGACCTTCTCCAGCACATTTATGATTTTTTTAATACTTGGAGGAGTACCTTCCCCTGAAGATAAACACCCTTCAGGATGATTATTACTCTGATCTTGATTGCTGGGATTTCCACTGGTGGCACTATCATACAGCTGAGGCTCAGCACTATATTGGACCTGGGAATCCAAAAGATCTGAATTATCATTGTTCATTGCGCCCGAAGATTCATACTGATGGACACTGCAAGGAAAGTTGTGCCGGTTCATGCCTTGATCGGATTGGCTGTAGGGGTAGGAAGAATCCTTGGAGTGGGAAAACAAAGAGGGAGGAAAAACCGTTTTAATGAGGATCCACCAACATCTTTCACCTGAGTAGGAAGGCATATGAAAACATTACCCACCAATAAAACTGTACCTCCCTCCTTAATCATTTGAGAGAAAAACACAACTCTAAAAAGATACAAGGGAGTGCCCTGTCAAAAAAAAAGAGAATTCCTGCATATAATGGCTGGAATCTGTCAGATCATCATCATCATAAACAGCTCACAATGTATCCTTACCACGCACAATTGATCTAGTAGCTTAATAAATTGGAATTACATAGTTTTTCCCAGATCTTAAAAAGGAACCCAGACACAAGCAGATGATGTTCAAGTATATGGTCTAATTTAAAACTAAACCTTACAAGCTAACACTGTAGCAATTTCATATTGATTCTGTCTTTGGAGGTAGCACAATGCAATCTTTGTTTCTATTTAACATTCAGATAGTATTACAACTAACTGAAAATGAGCATTTTTCTATCCTTTAAGAAAAAAGAAACTGGGCTGAGGTAAAACTATAGGTTAGTCACCAACTTTTTATAGATAGCGCCAATTTGACAAGACTAATACATAAAAGTTTCAAGTTGTGCTCTCTTACTTACCCAAGCATCAAAGGAATGATGTTTATAAGGTCTCCTACCTTCGACTGTTGGGGTGGTGGTGAAGAAGGTGGCTGAGGAGAGCTGCTGTTTGGCCATGAAGAAGTATTTTCAGTCACGTAGAGATTCCCAGGTGGTGCTGAAGGTGTAGCTGAAGGCCATGGGTAGCGGGTTCCCATTCCATAAGCACCAGGAGAAGACCATGCATCCTCTTGTGGTCGTACACTTGGTCCTGATTGTGGAACACTACGATTACCATTCCCGTAAGAATAATGGGGCAGGGTCATTCCAGGGTTCTAGATTGAGATGAAAGGAAATATGCTGGTCATTTTTTTTTTTTTTTTTTAAGTAGCAAAAATACTCTAGTACAGACAGATTCTGAGAATGTTTACTCTTTTCAACAGGGTGTACTATAGCTGCCATTGGGCTAAACTGCACTAACTCAAATTAGTTGCAATAAATTCACCAAGCCTAAGATAACTTGATTCTGAAGTTAGTAGATCTGGTGACAATCAAAAGGAAGATGGCCTGAAATTTATTGGCTAATGCATAACAAGTCTGTCCCAGGGATAACATAAATAAGTGGGCCCAAATGCATTAAGGAAGCACAACTAAAGACATATTAGAACTCCTCTTGAAGTGAACAGAGAAATAAACATGATATCAGTCATAGAATGTTAAAAAAATATATAAACCTAACAGCATGATAAAAGCTAAGACAAAGAAACTTTTGAAAACTATCTTGGTTACCAGGGGTAGGAGGGGAAGGAAAGGAACACAGGCCCCCCCCCCAAAAAAAGCATTGACCCATGTCACTTTAGTTTCACTGTACATAAATTATATTTCAATAAAATGTATTTTTTAAAAAATGTTTATACCCAAGAAAACCCTATGGAGCTCTACTCTACTCTATGGCAACTAATGACAACAACAATTAAGACAACATAATGCTTAAAGTTGCTGTGAGGATCTCATGAGATTATAAAAGTCAGGTGCTTAGCACACTGTCTGGTACACGCTATACCTAACATTAACTATTATTATGAGCAAGATAATTCTTTCTGCAGAAAAATAAAGGATGGAAACTAGTTTAACAAAATAAAGAGATTTTCAAGTAACAACTCTCAAGATTTCTTTAAGTAAAAAAATTTTATGATTATGACATCCCAAGGTAGCCTCAAACTCCATTTACTAGAATAGTTGCTACCAGTGAGAAAGGCATCAACCTAAGATTAGTATTTGTCTTCTCAATCACCTCTAAAACAACCACTGAGTGTTTTTATCTTATTTTTGGTTCTTTCTTTTTCATGGTTTTATATATATATGTGACATTTCCCAATTCAACATTTTTCAGATATACAATTTAATGATATCAATTACATTAATCATGTTGTGCTACCATCACCCATATTCATTGCCAGATTTCCCATCATCATAAACACTTACTGACTGCTAAACAATGGCTCCCCCTATTCCCTCTCACCCCTGGTAACCACTAATAAACTTTGGTCTCTATATATTTGCCTATTTTTGTTATTTCACCTAAGTAAAATCATAACAATATTTGTCCTTTTATAACTGACTTTATTTCACTCAGCATATGGTATTTAAGGTTCATCCACGTCACAGCACGTATCATAAGTTCATTTCTCTTTATAGCTGAATAATATTCCATCGTATGTATCACATTTTTTTTATCCATTTATTCGTTGATGGGCATTTAGGTTATTTTCACCTTTCGGCTATTGTGAATAATACACGTGCCTGTTTGTGTTGCTGCTTTCAAGTGTCTTGGGTACATACCTATCAGTGGAACCGCTGCATATGGTAGTCAAATGTTTCACTTTTTAAGGAACCACCAAACTGTTTTCCATAGCGGCTGTACTATTCTGTCTTCCCACCAGCCACAGATAAGGATTCCAATTTCTCCACATCCTTGCAAACATTTGTTAGTTTCCATATTTTTAAAATTTAGCCATTCCATTGTGAGTGACGTGTTATCTCATTGTGCTTTTGATTTGCAACTTTCTAATAGCTGATGACATTGGGCTTTTTCTTTGTTTTTAATATACTTGTTGGCCATTTGAATAGCCTTTTTAGTGAATGGAGTATTTTCCTAAATCAGCACTACTATAAATAGATATCCTTCCACTCTTTACAATTCAAGAGCCAGAAACTTTTATTTTTTCCCAAATAAGCAAAAAAGAAAATTGCTTACCTGTGAAGGAGGATATCCTGGAACCTGCCCCCTAAGAGGGGGTACTTCAGTCTGACATTCCTGCTGGGGATACAGCCAGCGAGAAACTGTGGCTGGGCTATTGCCAGGTGAACGGAAAGTGCTTGTAACTTCTGGAGAATAATTGGTCTGAGTATATCCAGGTGCATAATAAGCCCCAGAGTATGAGGGAGTATTTGTCCCAGGGCCAGGAGGGTATGGTGGACCATATGCTCCATTTGTATAAGAATTCAAACTCTGAAAAAAATGTTGAGAGAAAAAGATCAATGAGAAGAGCTCTGACTTAATGTCAAACCTTGAAAAGTTTGGTGAGAAAAGAGATAAAAACTAATGAAAATGTGAATAATGGACTTCACATGGCAGAATAGACAGCTAAGCTACACAGACCCTCTTCAACAAAGAAAAGAGAAACCAACTGACACAGATACAGAAGATAACCCTGAAGCCCTGAGCTTGAACAGAAGGATAAAGAAGGGGATTAAATACTAACTAGTAGAAGAATGTGAATGAAAACAGTGAATAAGGAGACAAACGGAGCTGGGGACTGTCAGCTATCCTGACGGCATGAACAGTTTGAGTATTTCCAAGTGGTGTCAGGACCTGAGGATTAACCTAAAAATCAGCCCTGCTTGGCAAGGGCTGCATAGACAGCTGCACTGGTGGATGACGACTAAAAAGGGACATAGCAAAGGAGACAAAGTGAACCACGGACTCTGGGCTGTGCGGAGGGCACAGGCATTTTGAATATTTGCAAGCGGTGCAGCCATTATGGATACTTAAAACAGCAGCATTCCCATTCCAATCCCAGGGACCTAAGAATAGGCTACACTTGCTGAGGAAAGCATGGGCAAACCACCAACAGAGGCTGATTACTGGAAAAGTTCAATATTCCCCTTGTTACTCTTATACCCCACACCCTCTTGGTGAATGGAACTGTGGTCATCTCTCATGTTTTGATTACCTAGTGCCACTCTAACAGAAACATACCACAAATGGGATGGCTTTAACAAACAGGAGTTTATTCTTATAGTTTGGAGGCTTTAAGTCAGAGTTCAAAGTGCCAGGCTCAGGCCCTAGGTGAAAGCCCCTTAACCTTGGGCTTCAGATCTGCTTCCTGCTCCTGGTCCACTGAAGCTGGAGGCTTTTCTTCCCTCAGGCAATTTCTGGTTGCTGAGGCTGACAAACCCAACATTGATAAGTAAAAAGGCACAGTCCCAATGTTACCAAACAACACAGGAGACCACTAATTCAGTCCAGAAAATGTCCCAAAATCGGCAGGGCATGGCAGCCTGCTGAACAATGACATGGGTACATGCAGGGTTCAAGTGTATCAAAAAGCTGGAGAACTTAAAGTTGCTTCTTATACACTGGAAGCAGCCCACATCCCTAAAGCAGCTACTCAGCTGCTCCAATAGAGTCCACCATGGAGTTAATTACCAATATCACCATAGGGAATAACTACATCCAGCTGCCCAGCTACTCAACCAGGCCCAGCCAAGTTGACACACAATCTTAACTACCATACCCCACCTCCACCCACCTTCTGGACCAGCAGGAATTCCATACCAGTCCGTGTGCTCTAACAGAGTCTGGGTGCCCTGCGCAGCCCCACCCCACCAATTTTTGTTTCTTGTTTGATTCTTTTTTTTTTTTTTTTTTTTTTTTACTCTTTTTTTCCTTCCCAAGGTTCTCATTTTTGGGTATTTTTTCTCTTCCCTTTTCCTGGTTCCCACCTATTTCTTTTTTCTCTTAATTCATTTCCTTGCTTTTAAATTTTTACTCTTTATTTTTCCCTTCCCATATACTAGTTTTTGCTTTTTTTATCTCTTCCCTCTGATTCCCACCTTTTTTCTTTCTAGTTGTTCTTCCCATCTCTGTTCTCCTTTTAGCATTTTTCTTACTTTTCCTTTATTATTGTTTTATTCTAGCTCTTTTATCCCCCCTCTTCCCAGACGTTGTCGTCATCAGGTGCTATCAAGTCACCTCCGACTCATAGTAACGCTGTGCACAACAGAACGAAACACTGCCCAGTCCTGAGCCAGCTCCATAATTCTTGCTATACTTGAGTCCATTGCCGCTGTCACTGTATCAATCTATCTCATTGAGGGCCTTCCCCTCTTTCGTTAACCCTCCACCTTACCAAGCATGACATCCTTCTCCAGGGAGTGGTCCCTTCTGACAATGTGACGGAAGTATGTGAGACGAAATCTGGCCATTCTTGCCTCCAAGGATGATCCTGGCTGCACTTCCTCCAGGACAGACCTGTCAGTTCTTTTAGCAGTCCATGGTACTTTGAACATTCTTCGCCAGCACCACAACTCAAAAGCATCAATTCTTCTTTGGTCTTCCTTATTCACTGTTCAGCTCTCACATGTATACAAGGCGATTGGAAATATCATGGCTTGTGTCAGGCACACCTCAATCCTCAAGGAGACATCTTTGCTCTTCAACACTTGAAAGACGTCCTTTGCAGCCAATCTGCCCAGCACTATATATCGTCTGATGTTCTGACTGCTGCTTCCACTGGCGTCAATTGTAGAACCAAGTAATGTGAAGTCTTTGACAATTTCAATCTTTTCTCCATTTATTCTAATGTTGCTTATAGGACCAGTTGTGAAGCCTTTTGTTTTCTTTATATTGAGATGTAATCCATACTGCAGACTGTATTCTTCAATCTTCATCAGTAAGTACTTCAAGTCATCCTCACTTTCAGCAAGCAAAGTTGTGTCATCAGCATATCACATATTGTTAATGACTCTTTCTCCAATTCTAATGCCATGTTCTTCTTCATATGATCCAGCTTCTTAGATTATCTGCTCAGCATACAGATTAAATAAGTATGAGGAAAGGATACAACCCTGATACACTCCCTTCTTGATTTTAAACCATGTAGTGTTCCCTTTTTCTGTTCGAACAACAGCCTCCTGGTCTATGTACAGGTTCCTCATGAATACAATTAAGTGTTCTGGAATTCTCATTCTTCTCAACGTTATCCACAATTTGTTATGATCCACACAATAGAATGCTTTGCATAGTCAATAAGACACAAGGTAAACATCTTTCTGGTATGCTTTGCTTTGAGCCAAGATCCACCTGACATCAGCAATGATATCACTCATTCCACATCCTTTTATGAATCCAGCTTGCATTTCTGGAAGTTCTCTGTCAATATACTGCTGCAACTGTTTTTGAATTATCTTCAGTAAGATTTTATTTGCATGCGTTATTAATGATATTGTTTGATAATTTCCACATTCTGTGGGATCACCTTTCTTTGGAATGGGTACAAATATGGATCTCTTCCAGTCACTTGGCCAGGTAACTGTCTTTCAAATCTCTTGGCATAACTGAGTGAGTGCCTCCAGTGAGGCATCCGTTTGTTGAAACATTTCAATGGGTATTCATCAATTCCTGGAACCTTGTTCTTCACCAATTCTTTCAGTGCATCTTTGACTTCTTCCTTCAACACCATTGGTTTTTGAACATAAGCCACCTCCTGAAATGGATAAAGATTGACCAATTCTTTTTGGTACAGTGACTATGTATTTCTTCCATCTTCTTTTGATGCCTCCTGCATCATTCAATATTTTGCCAATCTTTCAATATTGCAACTTGAGGCTTAAATTTTTCCTTACTTCTTTCAGCTGAGAAATACCGACTGTGTTCTTCCCTTTTGGTTCTCTAACTCCAGGTCTTTGCACATTTCATTATAGTAATTGGCTTTGTCTGTTCAAGCTGCTCTTTGAAATCTTCTGTTCATCTCTTTTATCTTGTCATTTCTTCCATTTGCTTTAGCTACTCTTCACTCAAGGGCAAGTTTCAGAGTCTCTTCTGACATCCACTTTGGTCTTTTCTTTCTCATATTTTTAATGACCTCTTGCTTTTTTCACTGATGATGCTCTTGATGTCACCCCACAATTCTTCTGGTTTTTGGTCACTGGTGTTCAATGCATCAAATCTATTCTTTAGATGGTCTCTAAATTCAGGAGGGATATATTCAAGGTCATATTTTGGCTCTCGTGGACTTGTTTTGATTGTCTTCAACTTCAAGTTGAACTTGCATATAAGTAGTTGATGATCTGTTCCACAATCAGCTCCTGGCCTTGTTTTGGTTGAAGATACTGAGCTTTTCCATCTCCCCTTGCCACAGATGTAGTCAATCTGATTCCTGTGTACTCCATCTGGCAAAGTCCACATGTATAGACGATGTTTGTGTTATTGAAAAAAGGTATTTGCAATGAGTAAGTCGTTGGTCTTGCCAAATTCTATCATGCGATCTCCAGCGTTATTTCCATCACCAAGGCCAAATTTTCCAACTACCAGTGATTCTTCTGTTTCTGCATTCCAATCACCAGTGATAAGCAACACATCTTGATTGCATGTTCAGTCAATTTCAGACTGTAAAAGTTGATAAAAATCTTCAATTTCCTCATCTTTGGTTCTGGTGGTTAGTACATGAATTTGAATAACAGTAGTATTAATGAGTCTTCTTTGTAGCCATATGAATATCACCCCATCATTGACAGTATTGTACTTCAGGACAGATCTTGAAACATCCTTTGTGATGATGAATGCCACCCCATTCCTCTTCAATTTGTCATTCCCGGCATAGTAGATCATATGGTTGTCTGACTCAAAATGGCCAAAACCCATCCATTTCAGCTCACTAAGGCCTAGGATATTAATCTTTATGCATTCCATTTCATTTCTGACAACTTCCAATTTTCCTAGATTCATACTTCGTCCATTCCATGTTCTGACTATTAATGGATGTTTACAGCTGTTTCTCCTCAATTTGAGTCATGCCATGTCAGCACATGGAGGTCCTGAAAGACTTACTTATCCTTATCATTCAGATTGGTTCAACTCTGATGAGGCAGCTCTTTCCCAGTCCTATTTTGATTGCCTTCAAACCCAAGGGCCTTGTCTTCCTGCACTGTGTCAGACAACATTTCCAAGCTATTCATTAAGTTGCCCAGTAATGTATCAGACAGTGTTTATCTGCTATTCATAAGGTTTTCCCTGGCCAACTTTTGAGAAGTGGATGGCCTCCTCCTTCTTCCTAGTCTGTCTTAGTCTATAAGCTTCGTTGAAACCTGTACACCATGTGCAACTCTGCTGGTGTCTGAAAAACCAGTGGCAGAGCCTCAAGCCTCACAGCAACGTACAAGCCCTGTAGGATGACAAACTGACAGACAAGTTTGTCTCCCTTAGCTGTTAGAAACCTCTGCGCCACC